GAATAATTTTTTTCAGAGAATTATTAGTTATACATTGGATTAGAGACCTCTTTCTATTGCCATATGCAAACAATTGTTGCCGATCGTTTTAAATTTGTCGTTGAATATTTTATTATTATTATTAAAACAAAAAGGTCAAGTTTAATCCGATAATAAATGTCAAAAAAAAATAAGCAGAAAAGATGAAGTTTGGCTGTATTTTAATGAAATTATTGTCACACAAGAGAAATAGTAACATAGTACACTGCAATTTGCAATAAAAATAAAAATTTGTAAAAAAGATATATATACGGTATTACTATTTTTGGTATTTTGTAATATAAATATTATTTTTGAATTTTTGAATTTCGTATAGCCAATTAGCATAACATTAATTAATTATACTGGGACGGGTTCGAGTTGTAATATTTTTACGTCAAGCTTCAACATTTGGACTTAAGCAGGCATTTTCTTAGGATATACACGATTTAAAGTTTTAAATATAGAAAATGGTACGACAGGATTTACTACCAAACAAATGATGGTGGGTAATTTTTAATATTTAATTTATTATAATTTGTAATAAAAAGATGTACAAGGACTCGAACAAAAAAAATCACCTGTGTAATAAAACGTGATTTTTCAGCATCACTTCTAATTTAATGGTTATGTTAAACTTGTTCCGATCCAGTTGAGAAAGTACTCTGAGATTCTAAAACGACAAATTTAAATACATAAAAGTTCGCATTCCAAGATGCAAAAGATAATATTTGAATGTCTTCGATGGTAAAAGTTTGAAGTTATGGCCTATGACTACTATCATTAAAAGTTACTATTATTTCATAACGCTGTATCTCCGAAAAAAAGCTAGAGATTTTCTTTAGGTCGATGTAGCTGCTTTATTATCTCAATCTTGAAACTTTCGTTGGGCGATTATTAAACGTAAAATCACCTGTTCACATACATAATCTTACGGTCAAGTTGGAATACTTTTTGGTAAATTGGATTGTTTGTACATATTTATTTTTACTTTAGGCATTTTCAAATAATAATTTAATAAGCAATGTAATCACATTTATAGAAATTACCTAAACGATTTTTCTTTTTTTTTTATTAATAAAAAAAGATCACCTACGAATTTTCTTACATACAGTAAATATTTATGCTTATATAAATTATTTTTACTAGACATAGATGCGACATTTGAAATATTATTTTTTTTCCATAAAAAAAATAAATTTATTTCTAAAATGTCAAAATATAACAAAAAGATTTTCAGTGATACAATGTGATTGAATAGATTTGCTCCAATATTTTTTTTTTTTTTTTTTTTAGCCAATCAGAACTTATTAGTCAGTGTTGAGAACGCCCTTAAATGTTCTAATCAAAGGTTGTGTTAATTGAACTTAATATAAATTTCGAAATAAGGGGAATTGTAGTCATCAAATTAAATTTTTAAGGTAAGTTTATCCTTTGATGCTCACACACCTTGATTTTAGGAAATTTTAAAAACAATGATTTTTGAGACCCCTTGATGGCTCAAAAGCCTCTTTAAAAAGACCGAAAGAAACTAGATTCACCGCTTCGAATTGTGGTGAAAACATTCCAAAAGATATCACCGTAAATGTCAACTTATTTTCGAACATCTGTAAGGCGTCTACTATGGATTTATCGTCGAGCTTAAACCCTAGTTCGATAAGCTTGGTAAGGCGGAATTTTACATCGTCGGCAGTTGGGCAAAGCCATCCAGATGGTGGGGATGGAGGAAATAGGATTAGTAATGCTCCCGATATGACAAGACTATTGGTATCACTACATATTTCGGTGTATCCGTCAAAGTCATCCTTTGGTGGATATTCTACCGGAACCATGAGATTTTGTGATGGTCGATTTCGTAACATAGTTTAAGTTTGCTTGGTTGGTGGAAATGGATATTCTTGTATTTTAAATGTTATTTTATAAGTAAAACATCACTGAATGATAAAGAGCATAAGAATCATAGGATTATATAATTATGTTATTTTTGTTTTATGGTTATCAAAAGAAAAGTGATTCGATTTCGATCATTTATATAAATCAAATGGTCATATTGTCATACCTTAATTCTGTGATAAGGAGTCCTGCATGCATAAAAAAAAATTTGCATTTTCCTTCCAAAAGCTCTACTTCTGAGAAACCTTTCCGATTGATTTAGCATATCAATCAATGCCTCTTATATAAAGAATCAAGTTTGCAGATTTCTTTATTCTACAGTTTGAGTCGTTGGTGGCGTTCTGAGTATACTTAAAAAAGAAGTGACCCTGTTTTTCCGGATAATCTTGCTTATAATTCAGACATGCTGCGCTTTATAAGTTTTACACGTTCGTGTCAGAAAAATTTAGATTGGCTAGAGATAGGTGACCAGATCGATTATGCGTTGAAAATTTCAAAATCATTGATTTCAATTGTTAATTCTTATCGCGGTTAGATAAAAAATTTTTAAAAAAAGAAAATGGGTATATTTCATTTGGTTTAATTGTTGGCTTAGAAATCTCGGAAATGTTTTTTTTTTACAGTTTAGGTAATTGCTTTGTCAGATCACCTTTTTAGTAACATCGTCATTAGAAGGCTGAAAACTTTATTTGATAACAGTATCTAATTTATTTATATTGTGGGAATTTTTTTATTAATGGTTTAGTAATATTTATTAGCTTTCACTCATTTCCATAAAAATCAAATTGAATCAGTTCTCCTTTTAGTAATTTCTTATCTTTTGAAGTGGTTAATAGAAATAATAATGATATATACTAAAAACGAAAAAAAAAAATTGATCATCAGTATTTTTAAGGTAAACCAAAAAAAGAGACAAACGATGAAATACAACACTAATATTAAATCTTTTGATTAAAACAAGGTACTAAGTCTAAAAGTTTTTAAATATTTTAATTATGATCAAAGATCAAAGATAAAGTTTTTTTCCTTCCATTAACGTAAATTAATTTAATTTGTAGTGAGAGAATTATTTTGTAAATTTATGACGATTTTTAAAAATTCACTAAACAAAAGTCATAACTTATTTATTGATCAATAAATAAATATTTATAGTTGTCTATTTATGATGACTGACTGATTGGTCGTGGATTCAGTGAGATCTAGACTTGTTCAAAATCACGTCGTATACATCATTTAATTTTCATTTATAAATTTGATAAATTATCTTGGAAACATTAAATAGTACGTCGTTGATTAGAATAAAAACGTGGGTGGGATCAATAATTTTTTTATTTAAAGATAATAGCAGCTTTAATCCGATAAACGAACAAAGTCTCGAAGCTTTTCAAAAGTTCTTAATTTTTATTTATATTTTTAATTTAAACTTTTAAAAGGTTAGAAATTCATGCAAATAAATATGTCATGTTGTCATTGTTGCACTTCCCAAAATATCAAATAAGTTTTAAAACAATAGGAAAGGATTGTGATTTTTGAACAGAGATGATGATCTCGTCAATAAACTCGATGAATAATCAATCATATGCAATAACTTTAAATAGTATCAAAACAAGGAAATGGCGTAACGTAATATCAAAAACAATTTCGTAAGTATAAATTTAAGGTAGATGCCTTCTAATAAAAGATGATTCGATATCGGGAAAATTGAAAGCATCTTTGTACCGTATGCCACTGCATACAGTACCCAGGGTCTTAATCAAAATGTGATTTTTCAAATTGAATAGTACCCACGGATACTAATGAGGAACCGGGTACTATTTTAAGACAACTTTAATAAATAAATATCAAAAAAAAATTAATTTTACTTTCCTTCTTCAATTCAGCTTCGCAAATATTGAGGAAAACTTAATACTTTTCCTCACTTTATATAAAGATTATGAAAAACGTTCAAGTAATAGGAAAAGTTAATATTGAAGACATGATGCTATGCCCGGGTATTAATCAATTTTCACAAAGTTTAGCTTTGAAAAGTATCCGGGTACTATTTGTGACTAGGTCAACATGGATAGTGATAGTGAATAGTATCCAGGTATTAATCACGAGGGGTATTATTTTGGGAGGATACTGTATGCAGTGGCATACGGTACGTAAAATTTTTTGGCGTTGTGTCAAGGCAATAGAAAAAAAAAAGCAACCTCCAAAGAAAACGAATCAATTCGTCCGAGGCGCAGCGTTATATATGGAGCTGCGCCCTGATACCGAAAACCCGCCTAAAAGTAACTTTGCTACATAAAGCTTAAAGATTTATGCTATAAAAATGACAGAATCGTCTAAACTATATTTGGAAATAAATAAAAACTGAATTTTGGTTAGTATGATCATCAATCCTTTATTATCTATTGTTCGTCAATTCAAAATAATATTTAACGGTTAATTAACGCCCCGTTCCCTACGGAAGGAACTTGTATCGATCCGTCGCACATCAGTGATCAATAGCTTTTTTAGTCATTCATTATATGGCTTAAAAATTGTATTATTATTTGTATTTTTGCATTGCATCATGAAACTCGGGACTAATTTATTGTGGAATTCCAATTCAGGTCATCTAGTAGATGTCTTACTTTGATTGAGATTATACATTTTTGGAATGATTTTTTTTGTCGATCATTAAACTAATTATGATTGGTCAAAACATTTATTTATTTTTAGGTCGAATAAACACTTTTTAAATTTTGTTATCTGCTAGTTCGTTATGTTTCCAATTCTGATCCATGTGATGCTAAAGTCCGTTGCAGATAATATGCATGAAATTTTCTCGCTAAACTTTATTGATCATTTATAAAGAAAACATTTTTTCGTTATAAAATACATATAAGTTTTCATTGAGGAGTTGTAGTTCCGAATAAATCATAAAAATGTAATTCAACTTTATTAATGCTCCTAAAACAAGCTTTATGACGTGTCACAAAGTCGTGATTTTACAAACCGTTTGAAAGGAATAAAATCGCCATTCCTTCCGACATTTTCTTCATTTCTTCACGACATTTGTCTCTTCAATTTCTTGATATAAAAAAAAAAAATCTTTTGTACAAATGTCTATCAAAGACGATGATGGTCAGAAAAGATATCAAATTGCCATCAGTCAAGATGGAAAATATGCTGTCACGTTTGATGCAGGTAAGCGTTATGTGGAATAATGACATCCTGCGTTTTTTTTTAAAAATTTTCTTCAATATATATATATTTTTATCGTAATTTAGCAACCTTACAGATCAAAATTTTAAAAAATACCGATCATCGCGAATTCGACACGGAAACAAAGAACGTCGAAAGTTCTGAACCAAATGTTTCCAATGAAATCAATGAAAGTTCTGAAATCAATAAACCTATTGTTCATTTTGAATTACATGAAGATTTATCTATCTATAAATTCTATACGATTGACGACGATCCTACGTCCAAAACTCCGAGTGATGTCTATGATAGATGGTCGATCGATATATCCAACATAGAAGACGAAAATTTTATTTTTATTGCAGCATCTCGAATAGATAAGAAATTTATGAAAAAAACGGGAGAGTATAAAACACGAGATGAAAAAGTTAAAATGATTGCAAAAAATTACAATGATGGAGATGTTTGTATAGATGTACATTGTTTCCCGAATGATCAAACAGATTGTGAAACCGCTATTTATTGTCTTAAATTAGAAGATGAGAAAATTCAAGAACTTATTAATTATAATAGATTATCGGGAATTTGTAAATTTGTGCCAAAAGAGAGTGACAATGATATAAAAGATGTTGATATTTCAAAAAAATTTATTTTATTGAACTATAATGGTATATATAGCTTTGAATATAATAAGGAAAACAAAACTTTTAATTTTGTGGAGAGATTTAATTATCCGAGAATCGTCATGAATGAAATTGAGGAAGTGTCACGGGAAGATTCACAGGATTGCATGAATCTACTCCTTTCACACATTAATAAAAAATATTTTTTGATCGAGGAAAAAAATGGCGACAAAAAAGGCGACGACGAAAAAGTTCTTGAAGGTAAATAAATAACTAATACATTTTACACATTTTTTATGAATTGATATTAACAAATTTATGTTACAGTTTATGATCTAGAAAACATGCAATTGGAAACTAGTTTAAATATCAGTATTGTTGACGATAACGAAAATTACAAAAAAGTTTACTCGATTGATAAGCAAAAATTACAAATTTGTTTTTCTCTAGGACCTCAAACTATTGGGTGAGTTATCATGTGATTTATTGCTTTTCCATTCTGAAAAGTATAAATTGCTAACGTAACTTTTAATAGGATATTTCTTTTGGAGCATGGATCGGAAATCGCAATTAGAAAATTTGAAGAGATCAACAATATTCAATTGATTGAATTCATCAACAGCGATGAGAAATTACTTTTGATTGGCAGTGATTCTGAAAATGATGATCTAAATATTATTATCTGGGATATATATGATACTGACAAGGTTGACGAGGTTGAAAAAATATCATTAGAACATCTTACAGCGCAACATCTTAGTATTTGCTTAGCTAGTACCTCCGGCAATCTTTTGCAAGTTAATGATGAGGGGAAAGTTACATCAATTCTCAAGATGATTGAGGAGGTCAAAGCAAACAATGAAAATAATGAAAGTAAATCAGAAAATCCTGATTTGAAAATATATGATCCAAAATCTAAAGAACTACCACCATATAAAAATTTTGAAAATCACACTATATACTTTTATGAAAAAATCGATGGTAATTTCGATAATATCAAACCAGCAATTGAAGATCCGGAACCATGGGTATCAAATAAATATAAAAAAATTTCGTTTTGTCTTTATTATGATGGTTTAGAATCTTTACAACTTATAGTTGGTATGTCTACTATTCAAATCTGGCATCAATTCCATGAAAGAAAGAAAGAGAAAAATAAAGGAAAACCGTTTCTTGAGTTTATTTGGACGAATGGAATTCCAGATAATCAAAAAAATGAACACCACCACAGATTACATATTGCAAATGTTCGATTTGGTTTGAAATATTTTCGCATGGAGGTTTATTGGTATGAAAAAGAGTCTGATGACGGTTCAATAAATGAGAAAGAAATGTCACAAAAAATGGAAAATGATAATCAAAGAAAAAATAATTGAATGGAATGATATCAATGATAACGCAAATGGAATAAGATATGCATGTGAAGCATTAAAATCTCTTAATATGCATGCAAAAGCTCGTACAAGTTATTTTAAAATACATAAAGTAAGTTGAATTAAGTATTTAAAATTTTTTAATTGAAATTAATTAACAGATTTACATTTGCAATAAAAAGTACCATGAAATAGTCAAGTATATTAATCATATAGTCGGGAGATTTACTGAAAAACGACCACAACGATATAGATTACTAGACGTTCGTTATCGTATTATGAAGAATTTAATTCTTGGTGATTGTGATCATTTAATTCACTGCCTCTTATTTGGATTCGGCATGGATCTCTATATACCAAAACATAAGTTTTGGTATGAGGAACGTAAAAATCTTGAATATATTATAATAGATGAAGACATGAATTTAAGAATAGGTAATATTTATTTGTTTGCAGAAAGTAATAATACAAAGACATTATGAATTTTATAATTGCAGAGGCATATTAACCAAAGCATATTATTTTAATTACGTCGTGATAGATTAAAAAAAATTTATTTATTTGCAGGGAAAAAGGAAGGTGAAAATCCAGAAACAGATGGTAAGCCCAATTTACACGTTGAACTTCCAACGACAGACGTGAATTTAGCAATTTTTCATTTTAGAGGTAAACCCAATTTATTAACAAAATACACGCGTTATTTGCAGACAGATTAAAAACAATCTTTTATTTACTTGTAGATCGTAAACCAAATGATACAATTATAATTACATATATTTTAAAATATTATGTATCGTATGCAGAAAATTTTTGTAATTTGTTAAAAATGGTTTCCGAAACATTTTATTTATTGAATACATTAAAATATGGTATGATTTCATTTTATAATCTTAATTTGGATAGATTCATTGTGGCATTGATAACGCTTATCCATAATATAGAAGAGTGTATCAGAGTGTTAAAAAATGAATCGAACACATTTGAGAAGGACTCCTTGATTGATTCAGATGCTAGCAAAGATCTATTAGAAAAATTTAAATTAAAACTCACATCACCCGAAGATGACAGGATCACCAAATTTCAACGAAACACTGATTATACATTAATACTTAAAAATATTCTATTATTTATATTTATACCACGATGGTACAATAACAAGGATAGAACTAAATATGAAAATGTTGATGATATTTTTGATCTCCCAGATATCGAAAAAACTATTCAATATCGTTGGCCAAGTGCAAATAGTTACTTTGTATTTCTTTTTGTTCGATTTTTGGTATTCGGAATTTGTTTTATGCTTATTAGTTTAGTATATATTCGTGAAATCTCTCCCAAGGGACTTGAATATTTTTTATTTTTGTTAATTTGTGTATTCTATTATTTGGCAATTTATTTATTTGTCACTGAATTATTGCAACTACATCATCATGGATGGCGCAAATATTTTTTTAAAACAGTATTTAATTGGTTTGATCTATTTTCAATTGTAATTCCTGTGATAATAATGACACTAATGCTTATTTATACATATAAATCTTCTACTGACTTTGGAAGTGTTGAAGCAAAAGACTCAAAAATAATTGTGGGAATATCTTATTCAATTTTAATAATTTGGATTGAAATTGTAAGTTTTTTTCAATTGATTATATTTTTTATTCAATTAAAATGTATTAACATTGTTTAAAAATTTTTAGATTTTATATTTCCGATTAATACCAAGTAATACAAACTATCAAAATTAAAATAAATCAATCTTACGAGTAATAATTATTAATTTATTTTCCTAAAAAAAATTCTAAATAGAAATTTCGTTTTACATCTATTGTATTGTAAACATCTGCAAAAAAATTTATCCTTTTCTCATATTTTTATTCATCACGCTTTTTGGATTCGCACATACAATGTAAGACCTTTTCTTTAGCCAATTTTTTTTTATATTTTTTCAAAATAAATTACTTATCTTGCAATCTTGCAAATTTTGTTTATATGACATATAGCTTTGTTTTAATAAAAAGTCTAGATGATAGTAATTCTACAATAAGTGAAGGTACTACAAATTCATCCGATAATCCATTCTCTACATTTCCTACTACATTAGACGCTGCATACTTTTGGACTAATGGTAATTGGATTCAAAGGGAGCTGTTTAAATCTTGGTCTGTTGAAATATTTACTATAATTACTAGCCTTTTGATTGTAATAATTTTGCAGAATATGCTAATTGCTATTATGGGGTATGTTTAATTTATTATCTTCATGTGTTCCTAGTTGTAACGCTATTTAGGTGGTTTATTTTAATATTTTTTGGTTTATTTTAGTAATGTTTATGAAAGTGCTGCGGATAAAAGTAAGCAAGCAGTATTAAAGTATAAAGCAATACAAATATCAGATTATGATAAATTACATCATCGCTTTGATTTTTGGTACCAAGATCCAAAAGTTGTTCCTTCTAAAAAAAGTGTAAGAAAATTTATAAAAGCCAGCCATCAAGATAAATATATATCAGGGTTTGCTACAGATTTAGATTACGATCAATATTCAATTTGGAGATTTGATAATGAGGAGATTGGATAAATAACACGTATTAAGACTTCGTCACGCCATTACGAATATTTTTTTTTTATTTTTAAAAAATATACTTACTTCATTTGTAAAATTTGAACATCTTTAATAAAATAAATATTAATGAACTTATGTCCTTAATTTTACTTTGGAAAGGATTTCTAATAAATAATTCGACTTTCAACGTCGTTATTTTTTTTTATTGGTTTATTATAATTTCGACGGAACTGTCGAAACATAACGATAAGAGTCTTACCGAACAACCTAGTATTTAATTATAATTTTTCTAATATTAGACTTTTAGTTTAATTACTAGAGGGTGATCCGGAAAGAAACGGACTTGTGATTTTTTTTTTTTTTTTTAGCTATTTGACTTTTAGAAACATGGAAAAGTTTCTTTATATTTTAGATCGCCGAACTGGAGCCTTACAACCTTGTTAGTGCGTTAATTATTTTGTTTTTGTTTAAAAATATTAATATTAACAATTATTTTTTTAAAAAAAAAATAAATAAATAAATAAACAAATAAATAAATAAAAACTACGCCTTTTTTGAGTCTAACAAAGTTAGTTCTTTTAAATAATAATAAAAAAAAAGATAATTAATTATCCATTAGAACTTACCTCTGATTCGACTTCGATTACAAGTTCTGGACCGTTTACAAGTTAAGTTTTTAAAAGTTAGGTTTTTATTTCTACGCAATATTTTACGCATAATTTCAATTTTTGTACTTATTACCTTTATAAACCAATCCGGAACATTGTGAGGTGAAAAAATTCGTTAGTTATTTGGTTTATTTTTTAAAATTTTTTTTTTTTTTAAAAAAAAAAAAGACTCCAACTTACCTTCTTAGAACGCCGGATCCTTTGATTTGTTTATTATTTTTTAATTTTTATATAAAAATTCTAACATTTACTAATTACCTTCCAAATCCTTGAAATATAGTCGGAATTTAAGTTCTATTATAACTTTTGTTTTATTTTTATTCAAAAATTAACTTTAATACATTTGTAAACTTATATAGAAAATTGAAACCTTGGAATCTTGGATCGGAGGCAAGTCCTAACGGAATAATTCTTTAGTTATTTTATTAAAAAAAACTAACATTAATTTATCTTAGTAGACTGATCCGGAACCATGAAATCGAAACCTTGGATCGAAGGTAAGTTCTAATAATAATTTTGCTAGTAAATTTTTTTTTATTAAAAAAATACACAAAACTTACTCATGCATTTAATAATTATCTTTTGTACTTTTTTTTTAATTAAATGATCTTTATAAATATTTTAATAATGTATATATTTGGGGATATGAAATAATTTCAATTTTTTAAATTTGCATTCTAAAATTTTGTCTATTTTAACTATTTTTAAGTAAATTAAACTTTGATTGTTAAATTAAATTTATATTAATAGAGCATCATATAATAATCAATTTAAAAAAAATTTTTTGACTAGTTATCAAACAAATTCATTCTATTATTACCTTTAATTTAATAACAATCTAATTTTGAATCAACTCTTGAAACCAGTCTTGAGTCAGTTTCAGTTCGATTTTTAAAATTGATTAAAAATGGTTTGTAACTCAGAAAACCCAAAATATGTTGAATTTATAATTAGTTCTAGAACTGACTCAAAATCGCTCTTTTTGAACCATCTTCATCCATAATGAAGAATAAATCTTTATTAGATCTTTATACAAAATACTTGAATTAAAACAAAAAACAAATTATGAAAAAATTTAGACAAACTTGCAAAAACATTGAATATCAAACTATTATCAATTTACTTGATAATTTAATCCTAACAATACTTTTAATAAATATAAAATAACAGTTTTTTAAATCTAAATGTTTGCATTATATTAAAAATAACTAAATTACAATAATATGCCTCTTAAATTTTTATCAGATTTGCTTTATTAGAAGAATAATAATCATTCTTTTTATGAAATAGTCAAGATATATATGTATAATTTATAACAATTATTATATAGAAAATACATACAGTCAAATTTAAGTAAATACTTTCTTAAATATAACAGCTGATAATATTATAAAGTAAGCTTATTTTATTAGTATATAATTAACCTTAATAATTTAATAAATATTTTTTTAATAATTTTATTTAATAATATATAGTGAATCATAATCCTGCATTTAAAAATGTATTTTGTAAAATTTGATATTATCAATACAATATCAGAATGCTTGAATTTTTATTCAATAAAGCTAATCTTTTCTTATTATAATACTTTTTATAATTGTAAATAAAGTGAATCTAAAAGATTACAAAGAAGAAAATATAACCAAAGATTATCAGCTTGTAATTTTAGAAAAAAAAGTAGATTTATAGTGTTTATCAATAACATATAGCATAGCATATTCATCACAATTTGAATTATGTGATTCTTGCAAACTTCTATTCATTAAGAATGATAATATAGTATTTATTTATGTTTATACCTATTATTCAGCTTACTATAATGAAAAGTGCATTCATTATAAAAAGTTCTATAAAAAAGATTAAAAAATATTTTTTCATTTTTAAAATGAATTGAAAAAGGAACAAATATATTTACCTTTGAGAACCTTGATAATTATATAATAATAAGAATAGTGGTGATAATGATAATGATACAAAAAGAAGAAGTATAGTAAAAATTCTGAGGCAATGTTAAAAATTTTGTCTATGCTATGCTTACAATAGAAATTAATAAAATAGATTTATGGTAAATATAAATAATAAATACTTTAATTTAAATAAATTTCAATGCCTTTTCTCTTACCTTTTTCTTGCTAAAAATTTGTTTTGTATAAATGTAGCCATTTACTATATGAAAATTATTTAAAGTTAGTTTTTTATAAATAATTATATTTTGTAATCATATATTATAATAAAACTTAAATTTAAGAAAATTCATATAGTTTAATAGATTATATAAATGAGTCATAAAGTTCTTTTGTATAGTGATCAAAGAATAAGCTAGCAAAGTTTATAAAAAACTGACAAATTTCTAGAATGCTATTATAAATCACTTCTCATGCTCATACTTTACTGAAATACCTGATTTAGTGATTTTAATGCCACCAGCATATGACTATTATATGATTATATAGTCATGTACAGGTAGCATTTTTATTTTTTTGATCATCTAGTTTCTACCTTATTTCTTTGTATCAGCTATATGAAAGTGATATAGAGCGTTAATTTAATAATTTATATAAATAATTTAAAAGAACGGCTTTTTAAAAATAAATATTTATATGTATTTTCTAATTTCTAGCATATTGCTTTATATCAACATTATAAAAGTGATAAATCTAATTTTTAAAAAAATTTTAAAAGTAAAAAAAACTATATGTATATTAATTTAATAAATAAAATAAAATTTTTATTTTATTTTAACTTGCGATTGCTTAAAAATGTTCCTTTAAATAAAAATAAATAACTTTCGAAATGTTTGATTTAAATTACCCAATATATTCAATATATTAAAAATTTGATATAAAATATAGTTTTCAGAACTCAGAAATAAAATCAGAATTTATTATGTCGTGCATATAATCATCTAAATATTGACTTAAGAAAACATTTTATATAGAATAAATAATTAAAATAAAATGTAATTAAATTACAATAATAAAATGATTTTTTTTAGTATTATAAAGAATAAAAATAAATATAAGAAGTCCAAGTTATGTCTAATGATGTTCTACGCTGCATTTATTTCTTAATGCTAAAATCTAAATAAAATTCTTATTATTTTTATAGAATCTCCAAAAACGTCTTTTAAAGTATTATTACTGTTAAATACTAAAATTCATAATAATAATAATTAAAAAAAAGACAATTATCTTGCTATGATTTTTAGAGAGTCATTTCATTGTCATAAAGATTCTTTAATGATAGCACAAAATGATCAATTAATTATGAAGGCATTCACATATCATTTAAAAAAAAAATAAATAAATTCGGGAAAATTTTATAATTCTCTTAAAAATTGTAAGAATATAGAATTTTTTGTCCTTTCTTTACAGATGAGAAAAAACAGAATATAACATTAATTTTAAAAATCTAATTAAAGTTAGATAAAAAATTAGAATATACTAAGAGTTTGAAGAAAAGTTTGCAAATCATGATGAGATAATCAGTAAAAAGAAAACTGATGTAAAAATTTTGAAAACTTTCAATTCTAATTATAATAAGTTAAAAGTATTTTTAGGAATACCAGCAATTAAAAGGAGTCCAAAGAGAAAGTATAAGAAGTAATATATGCTTAAAATAAAATAAATAGAAATCAAGAATTATAAAGTTACAATTTAATAATTGGTCATGTTTTAGTTAAATCACCCTATTTTTTTCTTCAGAGCAGTTTAATTATCCATAATTTATGGTGTTAACAGGAAATGAAATAAATGAAAAAGGAAGAATTTGTTATTTTCGCTTTTTAAAAGTACTTAAAGCTTTAAAGAAAAGAAATGAAGTTAGAACAAATAATAAGAAATAATAGAAATGAAATCAAAAGATAAATAAAACTATTATATATATTAAATAGCTTTAAAAAAGAAGTCATTTTTTAAATAATGATTGCATCTTACATTGCAATTATGTACAAAATGCATCTTTTAAGCTCCATCTACAACTGTTAATGAAAAAATTTTGCGATAAAAATTTTCATGATAAAGGACAAAAATTAGACAACCTAATTTTTCATGCTTCTTATAGGTATTTTCAACCCAATCAATGTAAATAAATGGGTAAAAATATTCATTATTACTCTTGTGCTTGAAGATTCCTTTGATAATTGTATAATTTTCACCATAATCAGCCACTTGAATTATCACTACATCATTCTTGTTTAAATGGTATCAGACTTCATCATTTTATGTATCTTGTATATATGGTGATTGTAGATGTTATTCTCGTTGAAGCTGATCAAGAATTAGAAAAGAATTTTGCAAATCATATTTCTTTGCAATATCATCTTGTTACATAAGTGTTAAAGCTGCA